GTGTGCCTACTGGCCCACACTATCCTGAAGCACATTGTGAAGTTGCATTTGCAGCTAATGTACATCTAAGCCATGTACATTTGTACTCTACTGAGAAATCAAATCTGAAGCATTTTGACTAGTTTTCTGTTCAAACCTTCAGACACAGACCCTGCCTCTGCTGATGGAGTTACCCATTAAATCCTTGCTCTTAGAAAATTGGAAAAAGTGGATAAATACCATTCAGTAGAGTTTTTATAATATGTTCACCTGCCAATCACCTACAGATAAATCAATATTCAAAGTGAGTCAAAACAGACACATTAATCTAAATCTATCATGCTTTGGCTTGCAAAATGGTCCATTGCTGAGTAAAACACTCTTAGCTAATTACACAAGAGATACTAGGTCCCTGGAGTATACAGAATATATTTAGATTCTTAAATTAATGTTAAGTCTCAGAGCCTGAAAATATTATCTCTTGGTTTCCTAGAGGGGAGGAGCAGTAAGAGGAGATATTTATACTGGATGTACAATCAAATAATACTCCATCACCTTGAGCTTTTTTCAGGGTAAAGGGTAACTTGTATTCTTGTGTTCTATGTTTGTGAGAGAGAAAGAGAGACAGGGAGGAGGGAAGTAAAGGGTGAGTGGAGGGGAGGTAGGAAGGTAGACAAACAGACTAACTAACCAGAGTCTACTATGTGGTATACATAGAACTTCAGTGAGAACATCAGAATACGTTCTCTCTCTCTCTCTTTGCTAATGGACAGACATCACATGACCATTTTCTCTATGGATTTTTAGTGAGTGCAGTTATATTTTTTAATCTATTGTTGCCATTCTTCAAGAAAAATGAATACAAACTGTAATATATGTCAAGAAGGGTAATCAGGGTGACCAGGAGTTTAAGAGAATTTGACTGGTCTAGCCTAGGGTACAAGGGTTGTAACATGGGAAAGGAGGTTTTCTGCAGATATATCTGGGGCGGGAAGGGGGAACAGGAGGTAAAAGATATTTTTCACTGAAAGAATAGTGTAAGAATAAGAAAAACAAAGGTGTATGACATGTCCATAAATTCCTCTAGCCTGGGCATTAAAGAGAGAATGCCTAGATTTGGTTGTGTACATGATTGTATAAATGTCCAAAATGCCACTTTTGCAAGGAGATTACATTTTACTTTTGGGGAAATAGGGAAGCATCTATGTGCATAGGGATACACACCACAGCAATAGTGACCACCTATGCATAAGTGCCCTTTCTGGGACCTAGATGACCCAATCTGTTTATCTAGGAGCCAAGAAATTAATCCAGTTCCACTCTACCATTTCAGCTATTAGTTTTGCTGTGGGTCTCTCCACAGTTCTGGACTGAACAGTCAGTGCTGACCTGTCTTTTTTTTCTTCCCAATGACAACTTCATGGAAAACACAGAAGCACTCCCTGGAGAAAACACCAGAAACAAGGATCCCCACCTCATAGGTGCGTCCACATATCAGGCCTGCAAGACTCCCTTTTGCTGGGATTGAAACAGAATTGTTTCTAATGCTCCGATAGAATTCATACAAATACTGTAGGTGCCTGCAGTTTGGCAGGTCAACATGTGTAAAAAGGGTCTCTGAGGAGATTCAGGTCAGTGATCTGGGCTTTCAAATGCTGTTCTACTGTGAAATTTACTTGCATAGAAAGAACAGTTGCTATTTAAGCATTCAAGTGACTTTAGTTTATCCAGAACAAGGTCTGCTAAGGTTACAGGAAAAAAGAAGGGAATGAGAGCCAATAAAAATAGGGTGACTTCAGATTGATTCTTCCTCCTCTTCTGAATAAACAAGCAAATATATATTAAGGCCAATCTGAAGTCCTTGGATTACATGGATTTGACTGAAAGCAAAATACTTCAGCAATCGCATCGAAGAGATGTTACAATAGGGTCTGAAGAGCCATATTGCTGATGGGAAGGGTTTCAGTTGCCACAACATTTTCAGTGCATAACGTGAGAGACCTCTAGAAGACTGATTTTAGAAAGCACTGGTTTAGCAGCTTCTGTCAATCAGGAGCCTTGGAGATTTGTGAAGTGGACTGTCTATTTGAAAGATCTTGTCTTATAATAACCTTCCAGCTAAACAGAAGAACTCTAGATGTTCTCGTGTCACATGCAGGAATGAAAAATAGCCCCAAACAATAGATTGGTTTTTGTTTATGTTGAAAATTGAAGACCTCTACTTTAACAGCACTTTTGTGCTAATTCCACTTAAGTCATAGTACTTGTACTGTTGTAAATATGCAGTAATAAAATGGTGAACCAGACCTACTGATGCCACCTACTAAAAAAGAAGAAACATTGACGTTGATTCTGGCACGTATAGGAAGTCATCTAACTACATGAATTAGGACATGTTTTTCAATTGACATTATTCCATAATTTTCACCCTGTTGCAACCCCTCACGATGGGTGTTTATACACATGCTCTGTGTGTGTGTGTGTGTGGGGGGGGGGGGAATGATACTTTTTATTAGAGTGGCTCCAAGCACCACTGTAATTAAAGCACCCAGAGCATGTCATGTATCACTGCCCCCACCCTGAAAAATGGTGGTGGGCTTGCTTTAACTAAAGCTCATCAAACGAGCTTTTAAGTGCCCCCACCACCATTTTTCAGTATGGGGGTGCTGGTATATGAGACACTGGAGTCTGCTACAGCACAGTAATTACTACACTCCAGCAGACTTGAATAACTGAGTCTTCTCTGACATGGTGTAGTTACAGCACATTGGAGCAGCCTTCCTGTGCATGTATAGGCACCCAGTGGTTTTGGAGTAGAACGTATGGGATTGTATTATATGGGCAATGTCTCCTAAAGGTTCCTTTTGATGGCTCATAGGAGCTTGAATACTTGAAAACACATGGCACATGTTGGTCACACTGGTTATTGACAGCAAATACTAAAATGACACTAATTCACTTTATTTCATCCAGAAGCTGAATATATGAACTGGTGCAGAGTTCAATGTCATTTTTCTGTTAAACTAGTTGGCAGGTTTTTTCTGGGCTGAGAGGCATTAGCAGGCTATGTACTTGTCCAAGAACTGTCCAGCCAGTGAGTCTTCCTGTAAGCCTTGGCTTGAAGAAACTGGTATCAGATGAACTGTTCATGGTCCAGATACCCAGAAATTCTAAGGTGCACAGTTCTTGACTGTCATGAGGATAAGTTTTGCGTGTTTTTTTACTATAAAGCCACAATTGTGAAAGCCCTGCTCTGTCTGGCTCTCCATGAAGATTAGCTCTTTGCTCTGAAGAAGAATATTTAGAAGCCTGGGGAACCCCCACCAGAGCCACAGCTCTTAGAGCCTTTCGGTTCCCTGCCACAGAGTGGGGACTTGAACCCTGGAAAGCCCAGATGAAGCACCACAGCTCTTTGGCAATTGAGCAGCATATAGGGACTGGTAAATTTTGGGGGGAAATATTCTGACTCGCACCAATACCAAATTCCTAAAGAAGTAAAATTTCCTCTAAGCTGGAAAGCTGCTTCTCAGTCTGTAACAGGAGGGTGGTCAGGGTCGCCGTGCTCTCCCCTGCCGCCTCCTTCACTGTGCCAAGCTGCCGACTAGCACCCTCCAATTCTCACCCGCCATGACTTTGATCATTATATATATATATGATCATATGATCTATATATGATATGATCTATAGGGAGGCTGCCTTTCATCCTCCTGGCCACGGTTCTGTTATCAATAGTTCCTTTCCTGTGTTGGGGTTCTGGGCACCCCAGCTTTATGGGCTATGCGTGGCTCCAACCACCCCTGTACCACACCCCTGTGGAGGAAAATAAAAAAAGGGAAGTAAAAATATTGCTCAAGTACAGTTAGCGGATAAGGGAAGTGATAAGATTGCTTAAAACATAATTCATGGAAAAGCTGATGCTTTTGCTAATTTTACAGTTTTCGACCGTTAGTTGCAAGGATGTGTAAAAAGTACCTAAATCTTTGGGCGGAACCTATATTACGATTGGTTATGTAAATATGATCTCATGCAACTAAAATGTATAAGAACTTTTGCGTTCCTTGTAGGTGGGGGAAAGAAGGAAAAAATTCTCTTCCCCCCCTACAGCTGTAACTTAATAAAGCTTCGACTGACCTGCTTCACGAAAAACGCAGAGTACAAGTGGTTTTTCCGCGACACCCCAAACCTCACAGATGTGACTGACATTGTTCTGTCTCTCTCCGCGCCCTCTCCGGTGCTCGGGCTCTCCGCAGCCCTGTCTCTCTCTCTTTCTCCACGCTCTCTTCAGTGCTCAGACTCTCTGCAGCCTTCTCAGTAATGCTGCCCCCTCTCTCTCTGGGCCTTCTCTCTGACCCCTCTCTCTCTGGGCCTTCTCAAGTGCCCCCTTTCTGGGGCTGGGGTCAGTGTACCCCAAATGCTGCACCCTCGCTGGCACTGGGGTCCCCACATTGCTGTGAGTCCCCTATGAGGCCTCCTCATCCCCTCTTAGCCTCACCCAGACCACCAGTCACAAACAGCAAACAAAACACAAGCCCCTGGGCTACAACACAAACTCCAGCCATCTGGCTATAACATTAATCCAGCCACCCCTAGGGTGCTCCATCCTTTACCAGTCTCCAACAGCTGATGCACTCCAGGCTCTTCCCTCTCCTCATTCAGTCAGGGCTCCTTCTCCTTTGTCTGCCAGCAGGGAACCACCTCCTGGCCTTCTGCCCCTGATTTATATAGGAGCCAGGCCCTGCCCCTTCTCGTCAGCTGGCTAGGCAAGTGTGGGTCATTAGTTTCCTTTAGTTGCCTCAGCAACCAGCACGTGAGGAGTTATCCCGGCTCTCCAAGTAGCAGGCACCTTAGTGCCCTGCTACACAGTCAGTTTTGTTCTTCAGTCCCATCAGCCAGCTTTGAAAAGTTCATGAAGTCCATGCTTTAGTGTATGTCTGTATTTATTTCTCTTTTATGGGAATTCCTTTTGTTGTCAGCATGTTAATTCTAAATATTTTGCTCTTCTTACAGGTCACTACCAAGGAATGGAAATCCAAACCACTGTGAATGAGTTTATTATCTTGGGACTTTCTAGTGACCAACACATCCAAATTTTACTGTTCTGTGTGTTTTTGGTGATATACCTTATCATCCTAGTAGGGAATGCAGTCATCATGTTGGTTATAAGAGCTGATTCTCACCTTCAAACTCCCATGTATTTCTTCCTGTCTCATCTGTCCTTTATTGATATCTTCTATTTCTCAGTCACTGTCCCTAAAATGCTGGTGAATTTCCTGGCAACACATAAAACCATTTCTGTCAATGCTTGCTTTACCCAGATGTTCTTTATCCTTCTCTCAGGTGGTAGTGAAGTATCCATGCTCTCAGTAAAGGCTTATGACCGTTATGCTGCCATATGCAACGCCCTGCATTATGCGGGGACTATGAACAAAAGGGTGTGCAGGCAGCTAGTGTGTCTTTCCTGGACAATAGGTCTGATTGATTCACTGGTAAATACAGTTCCTGTATTCAAGCTGCACTTTTGTGGGCCCAGTGAAATTAGGCATTTTACCCATCAGCTTCCCTTACTACTAGCACTGTCTTGCACTGAGACACTTGCCAGCACAATAGTTCTTCTTTCTTCTGTTCTGATAATTGGTTTTGGCATTTTTTTTCTTACACTGGTTTCTTATATTAATATTATCTCTACCATCCTGAGGATCAGCTCTGCAGAGGGAAGGAGAAAAGCCTTCTCCACCTGCAGCTCCCACCTCATTGTGGTGGCTTTACTGTATGTGACAGCTTTTGCCCAATACATGAACTCCAGTTATGTTTCTTCATTTGTCCTAGATCAAGTTTTTTTGGGGGGGGGTTTCCCCCAATCCAGGACAGTATCTTAACCCCCATGTTAAATCCCATCATCTACAGTCTGAAAAATAAGGAAGTAAAAGTATCTCCTGGAAGAATATTAAAACCATCAAGTTCTTACAGCAGTTAAACTTATCTTAACTATTTTGAGTAATTTTATAACCTTAACTAAATATAATTTAAAACATCTTATTATTGGATGTAGGCTTTTTGGGTGTGTTGAATGCATGTAACTGGATGATACTGGAACACACATGTCAATTAATATTATCATAATCAAACTACTCTGGGTTTCCAATGCCATTGAATGTAAAAATGTCAAGCAGATAGAATTACCCCAAGTATTTTCTTTATATTGTGAAAAGAGCATGTGCTTAGGTCATGTTAAGCTATGTCAGCTTTGCTGAAATTTATCTTGAATTTTTGCCCATGAAGTGGCTGAGTATGGATTGGCCTTCCCCAGCATATGTCAAGAAAGTGATTCATCACATGTCTCATTCCTAAAAGATTTTTTAGCAGTTTAGGAGCTGAAATTATATTGACTTTAAATGGGCAGTGGGCTCTCTATTCCTAAAGGTACTTGATGACATGTCTTGCATAGTCTATGGTACTGGGATTTCTGTAAATGAATCAGGTGTCAGGAAGATGTATGAGAATGGAGGCCTTCCTCTGAGAGTGTTGGGGTCTGCTCCAGTGCTTCCAGGCCCCAAGGGTGTACCCCACCGCCACACATGGCATTTGGGATCAAGAAGGAATTTTACCCCACAAGCAAATTACCATGGTCTTAATGGCTTTTGCCCTCCTCTGGAAGGAGGAGTCCTTGGATCTCTTAAGCATATTTAATGAACACTTACTGGCCTTGCACTGGCAGAGCTCTGACAGTGCCTGTACCTGCTTACTTTACCTATGGCAAGCTAGGGTGCATTGATGTTTTGGGTACAGTGCCTAGTAATTATATGAAAAGTCTGTTTGCTTGTGAAGTTTTAAGAACAGGCTAGACCTAGGTTCATAGATTCATAGCTGTCAGGGTCGGAAGGGACCTCAATAGATCATCGAGTCCGACCCCCTAATCATCGAGTCCAACCCCCAAGATCATCAAGTCTGACCCCCAACCGTTGTCCAACCCCTGAGTGGCCATGGACCTCCAAGCTGCAATCTGTGTCCAGTATGGGCTACCTGTGCTTCCCCCACACTGCACAGGTAGCACAGGCTATGGCTTGTCTGAGATCTAAGCCCCCAGTGTGACAGCTGTGCTCTGCCACCCACCTCATACCAACTTGCCTCCTGAAGCAGAGGCAAGAGCAGGAAGTAGCTGAAGAAGGGAGGGGGAGCCTAGAGACCCTTGCAGCAGCAGGTGTAGTGTAAAGAATAGCAACCTGGTGGGAACCTATTGGCTATTATAGGTATTAACAGGTGAGGTTAGATAATCATCTGTCTTGGATGGTTTAAATAAAGATAATCCTACTCTAAACAGTGAGTTGGACTAGATGACTTCTGAGGTCCTTTTTATCCTATGTTTCTATGATAACAATATTAATACTTAGGATTCCTTCTCTTTTCTTTGGAAGCTGAGAACACAATGAACTTCAACTACAAAAGAGGAGGAAAGAAGAATCATGCACCATCCTCAGAGACTCCAAACAGACGTTGGCTTTGTGTTGTCATAAAAAATATTATGGTGGCACAAAAGTTGTGTGAACAAATATTGTCCTTCATTGCACCATAATTATTATGGATCCCCACCTGATTTTATCCAAAAGACCTGCTTATTATCAAATATGGATTGAAATGTATTCATCTACCCACAGTTTACTAGCACCCATGTGTTTGATTCCTCATCAAGTGGCCTGTACATCTGCAGTGAAATACAGTCTAATAACAAGGGCATTAGGGATCTAGAGGGAGGAGACTTGAACAACCAGGTGACCCGGGATCTCTTCCTAAGTGTTGTCTGTGGGTCCTGTACTCTAAAGGAAGCCATTCCTACTGCTTGTATGTGCATAAATTTACCCTTGTACAACATGGATATTGAAGGTGCTTGTTGATCAATGTGATGTATGATTCTTCCATTCACATAGGCCTCCAGCTTGCCCACAGACCCTGAGTGGGGCTGACCCTTTTTCTCCCTATCCTGACTGGTTTGATCTCCTGGATACCTGACATGGCTGGGTCTTAACCCTGTGCTTTGCCTGACTCTGGACTTATGACTTGATACCCAGACAAATCTCTTGGCTTCTGGCTCCCCTACACTTTGACTCTTGTACCCAGGCTCAGACTCTCTCAGGCTCTTGACTGCTTCTTCTAACCCTGAGTGACATGCAGACCTTGCTGCCCACAGCCTGGCATGACACAATCTAATGTCACAGTTCCTTTTCATGGAAGGACAGCTTCTTCCCATTCAGTATCAAAAAGTAAGAAAAATACTCTTGGGGGCTGGTTCTGACACCTTGGTCCAATGTTTTATGACAGATATTTAGCAGCATGCAAGCCTGTACACCAAGCAATCCTTATGGATGTTAGGATCTGCCTTCAACTAGCAGCTGGGGCTTGGCTGAGTGGGTTTATGGGTAGTGGTATCATTGCACTTTTGGTGACTCAATTATCTTTCTGTGGCTCCAATGACATTGATCATTTCACCCCATTGATAAAGCTCTCCTGCAGTGATGCCAGTCTAGTCACCCTGGTTGTTTCTATGCATTTCCCTGTGGAAACCCTGCTCCCATTTGTATTCACCATGGCATCCTATGTTTGTATCATCAACACCATCTTGAAAATCCTTTCAACCACTGGGAAGCAAAAGGCATTTGTCACCTGCACCTCTCACATTGTTGTAGTAGCTATCTTCTATGGGATCCTGCTTATTTTCTATGTGATACCAAAATCTTGTGTACTCAGAGACCTAAACAAAATGTTTTCTCTACTTTAGACTTTCTTGACTACCCTGGCAAATCCTCTGATATACAGCCTGAGAAAAAGGAAGGTAAAGGAATCCCTGAAAAATGTTGTCAGTAAATGCATAACTACTTCTCAGTTATGAAGAGTTCAATAACATGAGGGGATATCAGCCTGGTTTAGGGATTTTGGCAAGCTTTAAATAGTGTCCCCTAAATCCATCGAAGTAGACCCTTCTCAAAGCAAGTAATGACATATGGATTTTTTTTTCACATAGCCCTGTCTCTCATGGAGTTTCAGTAATGACATTTATTATATCACCTAGTACTTTAAAGATGCAAATGGGGTTGTTGTGTATTTAACAAAGGTTGCTTTAAATCCAGTGAATGTGGATAGCAGGCAGAGAGTGTGGTAGGTAACTGCATTTGTATATGAACAAGACAGAATGCAATGGACAAGGTGTGGATCAGAAATGAAGATCCTGAAACATGTCATTATTTTCAATTCCCATTCAGCATTTATAAAAGCCTGGGCCTGCATAGTCACCATCACCATACCCCAGTCAAAATCAGCAAGCTATGACAAGAAAGGACCAGTGACTGTTCCTCCCTGCACTGCCAATTTCATCAGTCCATAACTCCAGCCCCTTCCCCATCTCTGCTTTCCCACACAGATTTTGTACCCCATACAATCTCAGCCATGCCCAGCCACACTACCATTTTGCCAGTATTAACTTGATCTGGACACATGGTTCCCTGTTATCTGTTACGTCTCAGCTCTGTGCTCTTGGGCAACCCTGGCACAGGATGCAGTCTGTCTGACTCACAAAGGACTCACCCCCCCTCCCTCCCCTCCTCTACCTAAACGAAACTGATTAAGATGCAGTGAGAGACACACCTAAAACTCTCCAGATAAGGGTGACAACAGTAAACAACTGACCTAGGTCTCATTTACATCCAAGATGGAACCACATGACCATTCATTTACATGAGCGATGGAGAACAGAAAGCCTGAAGCAGAGACTGCAGTGAATTCTGGGACCAGAGAAGCAGGGGAGCACTGCATAATGGGGAATCTGTGCTTCAAATATTAATCAACCCATGTTCACACACACCCAGCTCAGCATTTATCAGACGAGTTCTAATCTGGATTTGCTAAGGATTTTCACCCCCCAGACACACACACACAGCTGTAAGTTTAATAGGCATCTCGGGCCGTACATTCCCCGGTCCCACTATGGGAGGCCTATTTAAACTTGATTGACTAAAACTCGGTTGCCGGGTTAGGGAATGCTGAGGCAAGAGACTGAGTCAGAGCGGGTATGGGCAACATTTGTACAATGGTTAAGGGTTCATCACAGCATCCAGACTGTTGGAGCCCTAATCCCAGGTGTTGTCATATCTTTCCCGAGACGACTGGTGGGAGTCCTGTCCGCAAAAGGTTATGAGCACCCCAATAATTGCTTTAAGTCTGTTAAAAGACTATAGTAAGATCTGGAAAAGTCATGCTAAGCTGAGGCTTGTGCACAACAAGTAAAAATCCAAAATCCTGATGCTGCAAGCTATCTATTGTTACTGAAGAAACCATGAGATATCCCATCAGTATATCTGCCACCCATAGGAATCTCAAGCTGGCTCCCAAGTATTTGGGTTACTCCCTAATCTTAAGTGTTTCCTGATTATCAATCAGTTTCCTGAGATGGTCCAAACCAGATAACCCCTTGTCAATAGAAAAGACAATGATTTACACTACTGAAGGTGCTTCGAAGCAGCTGAACTGAGGGTATAAAAATCTGTAAGTGTGTGTGCTGCTAGAAGAAGAGGTGAGATCCCAGCGTTCTCTGTCTTCTTTCTAGGCATAAACTTCTGAACCTGAACTGTATCAGTTAAGCTTGAGCTAAGTTTCCCCAAATACTTAGTGAAACCAGGGTAGTACTGTCATTGTTGGTGTTTGTTTTTCTTTTGCATGTCTATTACTACTAGTACTATTATATATTTCATATGCTTAGCAATAAGTAACTTTTATAGTCAAACTGGTAGTAACTGGGTATATTTTTCCTTTCTCTGATTCTCTTTCCTCCTGTGCTCTGCAGCAACGCTTCTTTTACCTAAGCTAAAGATCCCTGTGAAGCCCAAAAATA